GAAGGCTGCGCGGCGCATCCCCGCTCCTCGCCCGCTCGCGCGCCCCCGGCTCGTGCGCCCCCGGGGCCGGATCCCGCCCACCGCGCAGGGGACGTGCCGCTATCCCGCGTCTGCGGCGAGGAGGGCGCGCCGCCATGGGCCGCCTGGCCAGGAGGGTGGCGGCGCTGCTGCTCGGGCTGCTCGTGGAGGTAGGGCCCCGCCGGGCCGGGCTGGGCGGGGGCCGCCCCGAGGCGCACGCGAACCCCTCTTCGGGGAGCCCGGAAGGCCGAGGGCCGAGAGCCACTGGTCCGTCTGTGTCGGGGAGTCGCCCCAGTGCCCCCCGCTCCTCTGACGCCCTCCACGCGTGTGGGGAGGACCCCGGAGCATCTTCCCCGAGGGGCCCGGCTCGGGTTGAGGGGGCGATGAGGGTCCAGGGAGCGGCCCGGCTGTTCGGGGCGGGGTGGGGTGCCGCCGGGTCAAGGTGCAAGCGCGCGGGGACGCGGATGTGGGACATGTCACGGGAGCGCGAGGCGGACGGCAGGGCTGAGTAAGAGGGAATGTCGCCCTTGTGAAAACACAGCGCGGAAGCTTCAGATGCGAGAGGAAAGCCCTGGAGAGCTGGCAGGGTGGGTGTGGCCTTCGGAGCCTGGACCGGGGACTGGACTTGCTGAAGCGGTCGCGGCGGGGGCGCTGGTGACCGCAGCCCCCGTGGGGACCTCGGCTGTCCCCGGCTGGGAGGTCGCGCCCTCGGATGCGGGCCACCTCCTTCTTGCCAGAGCGGCTTCCTTCAAATGTGAGCTCGTGGGATTCTGGGGTGTCGTTTGCATTCGGGTTTGTTCCGTCCCCTGCTCAGCTCCATTATTTTGAAGTGAATGTGTATTAAATTAATGAAGTGAGAGTAAGTGATGAGACTGCCTTCCGTTTCTGTCTTGAATATTTGTGGTCTTCAACTCTTTTCTTTAATAGTGGGGTGTTCGTGTTGGAAATCACCCCTTGGTTTTCTCCATTTATAAAGAAAGATACGTTACAAATGCTCTCCTAAAAGGTAGGTTGATGGCCAAGTTTCTGGCCCCAGGATCCGCCATAACAAAGGCTTCCTGTTCTGTTCTTACATCTCCCTGGCAGAGTGGTTTCTGTTTTTGTGGTTTCCCTCCACTTGCATTCTTTTCATTCATTCAGAATTCTATGACCTCACGAATCACATCGCCTCGGTGATTACGAGACAGGATAATGGGGAAATGAGTCTGAGGCCACTATTCACATAAAAAAACAAACGTATCTGTTCTTACACGTGCAGTCCCCGCACTTTTCAATCAGCACTTGATGAAATTATCTGGCATTTGTTGCTTCTGTCTTCCCCAGATCGTCTGTGTGGTGCTGTCCCCTGAATGTAGGGTAGACTGCCTCTTCCCAAAATAGATGCTCAGTTGCACAGGAGTGTGCTGTGGGGGAAAAAAACAAAAACAAAAATGTACAACTGCAAAGTTGAGAATTAAGTTTAATTCAGCAGACTTACTGAGGACTTAAGCCCCGGACACAGCCTTTCAGCTCTGAGGGACTGCTGGGAAGAGGTCAGGGAGGAGCCAGGATATATATTTTTGCAAAAATAAAATAAAATAAAATAAATTATAGAAATAATTAATTTCTGTTAATTAAGGAAAACCAGACATCTCAGGTTAATAAATTTAGCGCCTTTCTCTGTATGGGAAGATGCTGGAAGAGTCTGGGCGCGTTGAAATCATTCCTTTGATCTGCAACTTAACTGTCTTGGGGCCAGAATTCTGTTTTTCTCCGTCCTGAATCCCCACAGGGTGCTGTCTGGGGCAGCTGCAGTGGCTGGTGGCTAGATGGATGCCACATCCTTTGTTCACTGAATATGGCAGGTGACATTCTTTGCCCACAGGAATTTATGGTCTTAACAGAGAATTCAAGTCATGTCTGAAAACTTCAAACAATCTTAGGCGGAACTGCGACAACACTAAAATTTAAGTGACGAAATGGATGCTGGCACACAGTCAAATATTTAGATGACTGGTGACTTTTGTTTTCATGGGATGGTTACTCCAAGCACCTGTTCTGTCTGTGGCAGAGGTATCTCTCCAAGGAATTACTAAGAAGATTTCTTTCTAATTTATCGCGTGGAATTTTATACATGGGGTATACGTCTGAGATGTTGTCACCTGAAGGGGGTTGCTCTGAATTTTGTCTAAAATTGGGTGTTACCAGCATACCTCGCGTGCTTTTGAAGCCCTGAATCACATGCATAAATGTGCGATTTCAGTTGCCGATTATGTGGAGAGGCCGAGGGCTGTCTTCCAGGTGAGGGCATAAGAGATCGAGGCAGATGTTTGAAGGCTTCTGACAGCCAGCTGCAACCTGGGATTCTTGTCTTTGTTTCTTTGTTCTGCTTGAGCTGGCTTCATTGCAGTCCTGGTGTGGTAGATCAGAAGCCACCTGGCAGCCTGTAAGCCGTCCGGGCCCCTCCTCTGGCACCCTGTTCCTAGCCAGCACCACGCAGGAAGATTGCAGGCGGGGGTTAAGCTAGCAAGGGGTCCTTGAGCAGGGAGAGGGGTCTGAAAGCTGTCTCAGAAGGGCTTTCCTCCCCTGCCTCACATCCTCTTATAAAAATTCACTTTGCTTCTACACATAAAGACTGCGTGTTTGTTACTTAGCAAGCACTTCCAGAGTGTGTACCCTGAGGCACGCATTGTTCTGAGCACTTGACAAACATTAACTCCTTCATCTTATCAATTGCTTGTACCCGTTTTTGTTTCAAATGGGAGGTGTTAAAAGAGCTTGTCCGCAGTCCCTCTGCTGTGAGGTGGGAGGGCTTGAGATGTCAGCTCAGGCGGTGGCCCCCGCTCCCTGTGCT